TATGTGTATGTAGGTACATGTATGTGTATGTAGGTACATGTATGTGTATGTAGGTACATGTATGTGTATGTAGGTACATGTATGTGTATGTAGGTACATGTATGTGTATGTAGGTACATGTATGTGTGTGTATGCTGTTGCCGCCTACTAGGTTGCTGCGGTCTGTGGGGAACACGGTCCGACAAGCAGAATGTGGGGAGGGGGAAATGAGCACCAGCAGTAGCCGCTCCTCAGCAGGGCAGCAGCGAGACGCTTCCAGACAGCAAATTGAGGCACCTCTCGCAGCAGCCAACGCTGCAGAGGCGGATGGACCTGTGCCTGTTCCCGAGGATGACAGAGAGGAGCTGCTGCAGAAGCTGAAGCAGCTCTCATGTTTATCCGCGACTAAGGAACGGTCGTTGCAGGTATACCACGCATAGTACACCATCTCTTTGCAGGTGCTGTGGCCGTAAACAGACGGCACGTGTATGTGTATTTGTGTATGTGTACTTGTACTTGTGTACTTGTACATGTGTACTTGTACATGTGTATGTGTATTTGTGTATGCGTGTGTATGTGTATTGTGTATTGTGTATGTGTATTTGTGTATGCATGTGTATTTGTGTATGTGTATGGTGTGTGTGTGTCTTTTCTTCGGAAACACTGTATATGTGTATTTTGGGCGTGGGTGCCTGCACCAGCATCAGCAACTGCTTTTTGCTGCAAGCGCATATATTCTTCTTCTGCGCTGCAGGGTCGTATCAAGTCTTTGGAGCAGCAGGTTCTCTCGCAGAGGGCATACTACCAGGCCAGGCTTCGGCCTCTTAGCGGTGGAAGCAGCCATGCGAAAAGCTTCTCCATGCAGAAGCGTTGCAGCAGCAACAGCAAGGCGCCGCTGCCTGCCGGAAGTCCGCTGTTTCCACTGCTACACCACGAGAACTGTGCTTTGGGAACTCTCTTCGCCTTCTGGCAGCTGTGCGAGCTCACCTTTTCCAGCGCGCTGCTGAGCATACAGCAGAAAGAGGGGCAGCAGCAGGAGGAGCAGCTCAAGACGCTGATATCCCTCGTCTTCCCCTCCGCATTCGAGGGGGGACGGCGGGTGGGCCTTAAAGACTTTGAGGCAGCGCTTCAGCGCGTGGGCTGCTTTGCATCCCCTTCCGACGCTGTTAGCGCCTGGCTGCTGCTCTCCGGCACGCAGCTGCAGCCGCAACTTCTGCAGCAGAAGGGCGATCGGACTGCCGACCAGCAGCGAGAAGCTGCTGCAGCAAACGCCTTCATCGATGGCGCTACACTTCTGCGAAGGGCCAAGGTGCTGCTGCTGCATGCACGTCGCTCCTCTTGCAAAGCGCTATAAAGGTTGTGCAGCAGCTTTTGCCACTGACCCACTGGCAACAGGGAGGCGCAGTCGAGCATGCGCCAAGAATGTGCTTTGCTTGTCCGCAGCAAACGGATCCCTCGTTCCTGTTCTTTCACTACGCGGCGCTTCTTAAGCGACTGCAGCATCTGCAAGATAAGAAGAGGAGGCTCAAGGAGACATCCCAGCTCTTGCAGCTGCAGCTGCTGCAGCTGCAAAAGAAGGAGGCCCTTCCCCCGCAACAGCAGCAGCACAATCCGCTGCCGCAAAACCAGCAGCAGGGAGAGCAAGTGCAGCAGCAGCTCGCTGCTGCGGCTGCATCTCCCCCTGTTAGCCAGCTCTGGCTGGAGGAGGCCCTTGTACCCACCAATGCCGTGCGAATGCTCGAACAGCAGCAAATTGGACCCCTCCCGGCGTGGTCCCCACGGCCAGAAGTATATATCCAGCTACTCCAACAAGCAAACACTGCGCTGCAGCAGCAGCAGCAGCTTCTGCAAGAAAATTACTCCCTTCGACAGCAACTGGCTTCGTGCAGCAGCAGCAACAGCATCACCGCGGCAGCAGCAGCGCCCCGCGAGGGCAGGCAGCAAGACGTACAAGATGCGGTACGTGACACACCAGAAGCAGCAGCAACCACCGATCAATCCAAGCAGCATCACTTTTTAGTTTCTAAAAAGCAGGGGCACCGCCTGCTGCCTTCTGATGTGACTGATCCGCTGCAGCAACAAAGGGTCCTCGCGCTGCAGCAGCTCCTCGCCGACCTTCTGCAGCGTGTCAAAGATAAACAAAAAGTCAAAGAGTTGCGCAGTGCTGCGACAGCGCAGCTGCCGTAGCGGCAAACCACTCTGTCTTTCCTCCAGAAGCATCTGCAGCAACCTCCCACCAGGCAGGAGGGACGCTTAGAAGCACGCCCACTGCGTCAGGTCACGCCTGCTGCTACTAGAGAAGATAGGGTAGCATCAAAATCGCCTGCAGCGCTAGCCACCACAGCTTTCGATGCATTTCGCGCAACAGGGGACGTGGTCAGCGCAGCCGCCACGATATTGCGTTGAACCATAACCAGTAGGAAACACATACCATTTGTTGGTACATTTCATAAGCTTGTAACTTTTTACTGACTCTGGCCGGGAGGCTGTGTGTTGGCGAGGCGGTGCCTCCACTCCAAGACAAGGACTCCCGAACGTTCCGTGATTGCCCAGTGGAAAAAAGCTCGAAACCTGTAACACAGCCCTACAGCTTTCTTCTGGCCATTGCGCACCATACAGATGCAAACATGTATCACTCTTCTGTCACTGCTGCTTCTTCTCCTCCGAACAGGGGGAAGAACTGGACGATGGACTTGCCCAGTAAGCAAAAACGTTGTCAGTAAGTGGCCTCTTAGTAAGGACTTGAAGGGCCTCCAGAGAGCACACCGGCCTAGCTGCATTTGCTGCTTCTGGCAGCGCTACAGCTGCGCAAAGCGCGGCAACAATGGAATGCGCCTTCACGCAATCAAAATGTCATGCATGCCTTCCACGAGCGTGGCGATACGCGTATTGCACTCAGATGTGGATGGGGGGATTAGCCCAGCGTGCCGCATGTCGCTTTGCAGCATCTCAAACACGAGCTCCTGAACAGCAGATCGGGCCGCACACGCTTCATCGAAATAGCAAGCATGCATCATCATCCTAATCCGAGAATAATATTATGCAAAGCCCCCAAGGCGCCTCGACAAAAACCACCCCCTCCCTAACCCACCCTCATCAGGGGTGGGATAGTACAAGGATCGCCTACTGCGCTGTAGATGCCACTATTAATGCTGCCTGGCTGCGTAGAGACTCACAAGGAAGGTTACTTCTGGGTGCCAGTCGAGCTCCGCAGAAATCTTTGAAGCATCTCCCCGAAGCGCATTTACTTCAGTCGGACGAAAATGCTCCGTCGTTACCCGCACTAAGACCCGATCCCCGCAGACCCCGACCTCCTCTAAGCCTTGCCCTTTCCACCTGCAGCGGCATCCATCGAAACATCGAATGCACAGTGCAAATCAGAGAATACGAAGGGCAAATAACACGCAGCGTAGCCGCAAGGGCTTCTAGGATCAATCACAGAGGGATACAAAAACGTACTCAATGGGCAGACCCGCCATGGCGAAGGCAAGCTGGCAAAAGTCTCGGACAGAGAACTGCTTCCCTGAAGTTAGCACAACAGGCACATAGCAGCCTTCACATTTAGGCAGCAAGTGATGAGCCTGCGTCTCTGTCAGAGTGCTGCCGTTCGGTAACTGGAGCCGTCTGTCTAATCAGAATGTAGAATTCGAGGGTTCGTTACCCGTAGCTACTACGAAGTCTCTAGGAACGTCCTGCTGCAGCATAAGCCACATGCTCTTCACGTAGTCTCGCGAGTGGCCCCAGTCCCTGCGAGCGTCAAGATTGCCGAGTTCGAGGCAGTTAAGCTCTCCCTGCAGGATCGCAGACGACGAAAGACTTGCTCGGAATGCCAATCGCATCCCGAGTAGCGCCACGCAGAGGGAAGAAATAGGCTTTAGGCAGCGGAGGAAGACTGTCGCTGCAGGCAGACGAGGCTAAATGCCATGACTCGCTCAAAAGAACATCGTCTATGGATTCTCTTAGATGCCATCTCTTCCCACGTCGTCGCCCCCACAAAGTCGAACGCCCCCTATTTCTCACCTTTAGGATTCTCGCGATGCCCATCGTGATCTTCCGAGAGACAAAGTTAGTTCCTCTCCTGGGACTCTCGTGATTAAACAGGATGCCGCTAACGCAGAACATGTTATAGGCTGAGCGATACGTCTGCATTGTGAAGTGGCTGTATAACTTGGAGATACCTGCGCGCACGAAAGGGCGAAGCCACACGACCAGCATTACAGGCCTCCGAGCAAAGAAGGCAAGTCAATAACACGTGCGACAGCCAGCTCTGTTTTTCAAGACAATGCTGCCTCTCGTCTAAGGGTAAGGTTGCGCGCGCTTCCAAGTTACCGTAGGGTGAACACGGTTTGAATGGAGTTCCTTCGTTCTGCAGCTCTGCGTCGCTCGATCCAAACATCTCTGAAGAGGAGGCTTGAAACCTGCGACTCAAAGGCCGCACGGCAAAACTAGCAACCACGTAGGCCAAACAGCTGCAGATAGCAAGGAAAGCCAAAAGCACACTGTGCACTCAGTAATCTGCAGCTTCGGCTCGCTGAAGGCGCTCGCGTTCCGCAATGTGCCTCCCGTCTTTTCTCAAGTGCATTCAACGATTCAGTGACTTCTAAATCAGGTGGCTTGCGACCCCTGGAGGTCTGGGCTCCCTGCCTGTCGCTGAATCCGTTTGCATGCCGCAGCGAGAAAAAACATAAAATAGAGTGCTCACACGCGTGTCGTGCGCTCGAGACCTGCTGCCCTAATGGCCTCCAGCAAACGCAGAACCCCCACCCCCGTGGAATCCGTGGTGTGAATGGGCATTTCGAAGGAGACTTTCACATGACTCTGCAGCACAAGCACCCCACAGCAGTCCTCGGCAGGCTGGCCAGCACTCCCTGGAGCCCTGTAAGAGGGCCTCTTTTGAGCAGTCTGGATGCCATACCTGGGCAGCAAGGTTGTACACCTCATCGGGCTGCACACGAGATATGATGCTGAAGAGGGAAGTTGAGTCCACGATGTCGCCAAAGTGTAGCTGGACCTCTGGGCAAAGTGGCGCATTGCAAGGAACAAACTCTCCATATTCCATTTGCTGCCGACGACCCCACACAGACTCAGGTGTAAAAGGCATACGTGAGGAATACGCGTACTGTCTACTACTTTGTCGAGTCGCGCAGTGTTGACGGTGCTGCTGCGACGAATGAGCCCGTGGACTTCATATCCTTTTTGGAGTAAGAGCTCGCTGAGATACCTGCCAGACATTTTTGAATAGCCCCAGAGGAGTGTACATGGTACAAGAATAGCAACGCCATACAGGAATTGGCTTGCGGTACTCTGTAGTGTGAACACCGCCCCTAACCTGTGCATCGAACTGCACATGACTGACGCGTGTGGAGGGCAGAGACGAGCTTTCGAGGGGAAAGGTGAAGAGCTGCACTCACGATCCGTCTTGCCCTGTAATACCAGTAATGAGAGCCCGGCGAGGTCGCTTCATCTCTGAGATAACGCCCTTCTGCCCTCCTGTATTAAGCTGCCAGCAAAGAATTGAAATGCGTATTCTCCAGCCAAAGAGCGTTTGCGACTCTCACTGTAATGACTGCACCAAGCTATGGCACGGCTGATTTTTTAGGACAATCACGAATCAATCGCATTCCAAATGGAGAACAAAGAAACGATGAATTCCGGAGTCAGTGATTCTGGAAGACGGGGTAAGGCGTACTGAAAGATCTGGGGATACGGATGAGTAAGAAGACAGACGATTTGACCCCAGGTGGTCAAAGAAAAACTCCGGCTGGAGCCAGTTTAGTACCAGAGTGGAAATTTTAAAATGACCAGCTGCGAACCCCTGCGTGTCTCCGGCGCGTAGGGCCCATGCGATATCGAGACCATAGGGCGCTGTGGGTAATCCGCAGCCTTTTAGGTCTGCGATTGAAGAGTTTTACTTAAATTTCCATCAGAGAAAATGTACAACACCACTAGTACCCTTTTTCTGCTCGCTCCACCACAGACTCACCGCAGCCCTGGCAGTGCGGCTCACGAGCCTAGGGGCCCCGCGAATACGCAGCCGACACTTCTGTCGCACTCACCCACAACAAGGCATAGTTGCAGACGCACCGCTGTGTTACTCGAGGCTTAAAGGCTTAGAAAGAACTCTGTATAGCAGTGGAGAGTAGGGCAATTCGTTAGAGCAGACAGACCTCCAGGTAGCCGACTCGTGACAAACGCCGCGGCACAAGCAAGTGTGGCTCTTGTTTGACTGCGTAGAATAACTTTTGCAGGTCTCTTGAAAGGGCCCTCTGAGCTTTATACATAGTTGCTCATAACAACTTCCGCCCACCGGCAGGTAGTGTGGCGCTATCGCTGCCAGTGGACATCGTCCAGAAGTAACTAATTGAATACGGAAGCCATTTTTTCACTGATTGCAGGAACGGTGGATCACTTCTTCATCAGTGCTTATTTTGCTTTGGGCGTCCTTCTTTTCCCTTCCTGCGGGGCACTGCAGGCATGCGTGGCTAGGCAGCTGATCGGAAGTAATTTGTACCCACTAGGACGAGTTCACACGCCTTATAGCCTAGCAATCGAGGACTACTATAAGGCTTCTTAACGACTCGGTGGGAGACGCCGAACCATCTCAAAAGACTTCTCGTGCGGTGAGGCGCGCTCTAGAGTTGCATGTTTTCCTCGTCGTTGCCATCCTTCTTCGCCTATACCCTTTCCGCGTTTTGAAAAGAAGGGAAAGCAAATGGCATCATACAGAAAGAATTGCGCTCAATATGCAAATGCAGGAGAGTAAGGGAAGAAAAGGGGCAATGGACGATCAATGCGCGTACATCCGGAGAGGCTGTAGACGCAAGGTGTTTCCAATTGCTGAGTGCAAAAGGCACGGCACGCAAAGGAACTCTCAAGAGCGTTTTCTTTTCTAGCATCGACAGTGGTACAAACCTGGAGGAGAACTAGGGAGTCAAACAAACAGGGGAAGAGTTATTGCTGCGGTGGACGACAAATGAGCGAAAACCACAAGGATTAGCCTGAAGCGACGCCCGGGGGCGCTACTGAGTATTTCAGCATTCATCTCGATGACGTAATAAAAGAGAAAACAAAATATTGGAGAGTCGAATCAGCCTGTGTCTATCATTGCTGTCAAAATTGAGTTCCTGGGCCAGGCCAAATAGACCATAGCTGGAGCAATCATCGTAATAATATTGTATGGAGCTCCATCCAAGTCTTCGCACGGAGACGCTTGGTCTCTAAACCAGTGAGAAAGATTATAGAAAGTCATCGTATGTCTCCTACAAAGAGCTCCCGCATTCACCCTTATTTAGACTTCAGGGTTTGGGCACGAGGTAAGAGGGACTGTTGCGTTGCATGCTGCTGTTTACGTTTCTCAACATTCAAAAGTATTTGCACATAGCTCCCAATGCACAGGCAAACAAAATTATTCGTAATCGTATCGAGCTAACGCTGGTCTGCAAAGAATAAGGAATATGCACTTACAAGCCAAATAGTCAAATCTTCACTACTTCAAAATCTCGTTTTTGATTGAAGCATTCCAAAGTGTAGTTTAAGCCGCTGCAAATAGGGGAGCTGCGCTTCACACGATAGAATTGTTAGCCTAACTATGGGTTCTGACTATTGGTGCTCAGCATGCTGGTTCCACTCGCGCAGAATTGTCGAGCCTTTGTCGGTCTCTACGCGGCAGAGTGTATGGAGGCCGAGTAGCCAAAGCCAGCACGACGTAGCATACTGAGACGTCCTCCTTCAGTGGCAACCCATTTGATGGGATCGACTACAAAGCAATGGAGTGAAGGGTTTGATAGTGGTCAGACCTGCTTTGAGACCTCCATATTACTGAAGCCAATTCTCGGATGTGGAAACAATCAGCTGTGCAGCAATGCTTTCGGTTACAGGAGAGCGCCTTTCGGGGTGCAGACAGGTAGATTGTACGCTAGAAGTCAATGTGGGCTAGACTTGGCTTGTTCAAGCCTCCAGATATGCTCCAATATGCCACAACTGCCGTGCAGCCATGCATATGGCACGTAGGTTTCTTTTGGCCCATGCGAAAATCGCCGTTCAGGGGACGTTTCATTGTACAGTAACTGCTGTCGGAAAGAATTTCCGAAGAGCTTACGTCCTTCACTTGCCAGGGGTAGATGAAATTGTTGGCGAACACTCAGTCGCTAAACTGTAGGAGCGTCGAACTTTTGCTTTTGCAGAAGCCCGCTTTACAGTTGGTTCCATGTGAAGCGCCGCCGATTTAACACTTACTAATCCAAAGCTCTCCAATATTTGCGCCGCTACAAAACAGTCCAGGAAAACGCCAAACACCGGACTACCTAACGACCAAAGTGCCTAATCCCACTCACCAGGGCTGGTTACATGCTGCACCCACAGCAAGGCTAAAGCGCCCACTAGTCCATCACTCCCTGTATTTGTGTAAATGCTACGATTCCATGTGGCGGCGAGGCGACCGTCACAGTAGGGAGAGACGCCAGTTCACATTATCTCCAGCCCTTGTTGTACGTGTTCCCTCAACGCTGGCATAAAAAATGCTAGAGCACGGCCGAATAAACGTGCCATCCTCTGCAGCGTTTCACGAGTTACTGTTGCTGTATCGTCATGCCTTGGTCTACGAAGATACTCCCCAGACCAAGCCCCCCGGTGTACAGAAGCACGGTCCGTGTAACGAGTGCTATATTGAACAAGTAGCATCATCCGACTGGCCACGGAAAAGCGCGTAAAGAGAAACATACAGAACTAGGAGCAGAGCCAGATCTGTTCCTCGCAACTCCCTGACGACGGGTATCCCCGGCAGGCGGTTCTAATGCAGCTGGAAAAGCGCAGACCTTCCTGATGGTCGCATAACACGGCGTTCAAAGGGGTACAGACGACCAAAGCAAGATGAAAACGCGCGCTCATAAGCCGTGGGGGCACTAGAGTAAAACAAGGTGAAGTGCAGAATGACGAATACACATTATTCTGAGCGCGCAGACCAATGCAGAATCCGTAGCATCTAGCACAGCGGGCAAGGCATCACCATAATGAAAATGTCAGTTTATACTGCTGGGCAGAAGAACGAGGCAAAATACAATTGCGTCACGCCACCACACAGCCCTTTCAACAAAACAAAGGAAAGCTTGGATGCACATCAAGGCAGGCAGCGGAACATTCCCCATGACTGAAACCTGATACTCCTTCCCCACAGCCCTACATGGATTCGAACCCGAATAGCAACTAAACTACCAAATGTCGAGGGGACCAGCCCTGCTTCCACTTGCTGGCTACTCAACATTTTCTGGCTCTCCCTCTCCAGAGGGTTGCTCCTCTGGAGCTCCATCTTCACCATCGGATTGCGTGCCTGGAGCTTCTGCATCTTCAGGCTTCAACTGCTCGGCTAGTCTACGAGATGCTGCTCCGCCCTCACTTCCTTGCTCCTC